GCCAAGCGATTGCTCCACTTTGCCAATGAATCTTGTCCACATAGTCCCAAGGCCACTTGTCCCACTGTGCTCATTGCATGATTCTTCCTGATAGGCACTAACTTAAATATTAAGGAAATAAAGAGGCCCAGATTATTTTCAAAGCCTCCTATTTCCATTGATCATAGTCTCCTAGAAGAGAGATTTCAAACACTGAGCCATTACTTACTTCTTCAAACATATGGGTAGCATTTTTGTGTGCATGTCTTTCATTATTTTTTAAAGTTATATGATAAGTCATTTATAGTTTAGTTTGTTTTGTGTAAGCTTTTGTTGGCTTTTATCTTATTTTGTTGAGGACAGAAGCGCTCAGGCTTGACTACAGACCTTGTGTATAAAAGGCAAGTGCTTTCCCACTGGACTGCATCCTCAGCACTATTTCATTTGGAGCCATTTTATTTCCTTATAAACTAATTGAAAAGAAGGCATGAGATACAAATGAAAACTAAATGAACTAATAACCTCAAGCATGTCAAATACATTTTAAAGAGTATTTTAAGGTCAATCAATAAAAATGTACTTTGACTTAGAAAATTTTATTTAAATGAACATCTTATCTTACCTACGGTTCTAACTATTCCAGGATTACAAAGATTAATATAAATTCATAAACAAGAAAAGCCTTTATCACTTCAAGACCTGGGGGTCGGAGAACCTCTGATAAGAGTTGCTCTAAAAACGTATTGGCTTACCATTAACTTGAAGACTTTCTAATTACGCTGGTATTTTTATGACTTCTCCCCTGGAAAAATTTTGCTAAAATTACATTTTTTACATTAATCTTTCAGAATTATGTGGGCATGGTGCTCACCTTTTGAGTTTAGCAAAGAGTGACTTGTAACATTCTGTACCCTATACAGACATATGTCAACCACAGCCATCACCGTGTGTACATCTCCACATCCAAGACAGCTCTCTAATAAGAGCAGGGTATACCTTTTCAGACTGTAACTGATATTAACAAAGGAAAGTCATGAGCTTGGGAAGGATGGAAGCAGATTGGAATTTGGTCTTCCATACGTGTAGATGCCAAAGATGAGCAAGTAGAACTACAGCATAATGTACAAAGATGGGTCCCATGAGGCCCCAAATCCAGTCATGAGTCCAACTTATCCTGTGTGTAGTAAATCAGTTCATAGAAATTTAGGCCATGCAAGTAGCAGGACACTAAACTATAAATATGTTGAGAAACTGACTCCATGCTACTTGGAAGGAGAGCACATTCGAAGAAATACAGTAAGTTTGTCTGGCGGGGAAAAACTAAAAGGTACATAGCTCTTTGTAGGATAAATGAGGGATTTTGATGCTCCACATCACATAATCTCTCAGGAACTAAGTTAAATGGTTTCTACTAGAGACAAAAGGGGCCACTTCAATTCCCTAAGCAGGTAAATGTCAGGCAATTCAGGACAGAATTTCTAAGTGCTGAATTTTTTTCAAAGATATTAACATGCTGACCTTGGGGTTAGTGCAACACTTGTTTTCACACCACACACTTTACGTACATTATAAGACTATTCCACTTTGGTGGGAGATGAAACATTTTACACCTTGCCACTTAAATAAGAACTTAGATGTAAATTTTGAAGTGAGCAAAGTCACAGTATCATCGCTCTGTGAAACACTCCTTATGAATCAAATGCCCTGGCCAAGCACTGCTTGCTTTCCTTTAATAAGCCAAAGGGAAACTGTAATTATTACATGCTACATAAATTTCAGAGTTTGTGGATGCAAATCATTTTCACTTTACATGTGTTCATAATCTTTTAAAATATTATCACTCAGGACTCTTATGCAATGATTTTTAAGGCATGGTTTGTAATGCTTCCAACTGGTTTTACTTATATTTAAAAACAGTTTAAATGTATGTTCATAGATTACTTCAAATCAAGTTAGTTTAGATTATTTTGGGAGTGGTGAATTCAGCACTTTATAAACATCGCACATGACACAGCATTCAAGATACTGAGAGATAAACTACAGAAACTGACTAAATAAATTTTAAATTTTTTAAAAAAACTTCACACCTGGCATAGTGAGGCATGCCTTTAATTCCAGCATTTTGGAGACACAGGAAGGTGGATTTCTCTAAGGCCAACTTGATCTACATATGCAGTACTAGCCAGAGGAACCATTAAAAAAAAATCTAGAAAATCCAATCATTCACAATCCTAAGCGGGTGGTTATCTTTCTTAATTGATATTCTTTAACTAACTTTAATAAACTCTGTTAAAAGTGTTTTACTAGTTTAAAAAAAGAGTTTTCTCCAAACATTCCACACATACAAAGCCACAGTGGGATTCACTTTCAGACACTGCATGTTTTGACAACTGAAGTATTCTGTGTCACTAATCCTTGGACCTCCAGACAACTGTGTGGGCTATAAGCATGGGAACTGCCTATTTTAATTGGTGGTTTGTCAAAAGAAATTTTATACTTACATTATTATTTCTTAAAATTGTAACTATCCATTGTACTATTCTTGATGGACCACATCCTGGGAGCCTCTACTGAGCTTCCGAGTCATTTCTGAGATTCACCGAGTCACAGGAATTCTAGATCACCCACATCCATTTCATAGATGGCATATCTGCACTCTGGTGTTTTGTTGGTTTGGTTTGGTTTGGTTTGGTTTGGTTAGTTTGGGGATTTGCTGTATTGTGAAAGGTATTGCTCGGTAGCCCAGACTACCTTCTAATTCTTTATGTATCTCAGACTGACCTGTCCACCATGGGGATCATCTTGCTGCAGCCCCATAAGAGCAAGTATGACAAGTGTGGCCCACCACATCTGACTTCTCCACTGACTCCCTATTTTGAGAAGAAATAGATTGCAAATTGGCAAGATTTATGTGTGTGGTGTTGACTAATTCTACTCTCAGAGCCAAGCTCTACAACAATTGTTGCCTAAGCATCTGCAACCACCCTGCTCTTAGCAGAGAACTTACTATGCTTTGTTTCTGTCTTCAGTTACGGAAACTGTGCATCAATCCTTAAAAATGAGCTACTCATCACTTCAGTCCAAGATAATGGGGATTATGTAATGTGCATTCAGTAAAATACAAGACATAAAATTTTGTGGGGTTTGGGTGAGAAGAGATCTTTTGTGAAACAATTTCCTATGTCACTTAAAACTCTTCAGTGCAGAATTAGTTAGATGCAGAGCATTGAAGGGGAGGAGACAACTCGTAAATATCAAGCTGAGTCTATTTCCTAATTATGTAGAACATTAATTCCATTATTATCACTTGGAAAGGACAACAGGATTTTTAAAATGAGTGAGAAGGGTTTCTAGTAAAAGAAATTCACTTATTTTTCTGTGGCTAATTGTGCTTTATATTCTAGGATGCCCACCAACAAATACAGTCTAAATGCATTTGTGTGATTATTTTGAAGCAATTTATATACTATTTGATATTTTGCTTTTACCTTTCTGTATTTTACTGATGTGAGGCCATGTGTAATTCAGGATCATTACACTAAGGGTGAAAAAATGATTCTAGTGGCTCACATGACTGTAGAGCACCAATTCAGCAGAAGTAAAATTTCCTTTGCCAACATTTTGGAAGAGAGAGAGACAGAGAGAGAGAGAGAGAGAGAGAGAGAGAGAGAGATGTGTGTGGGAGAGAGAGAGAGAGAGAGAGAGAGAGAGAGAGAGAGAGAGAGAGAACCTTAAGACTTTGTAGCCCCTTTAACAGAGTTTTCATACAAACAATACTTTGACTTTTCTAGATATTACCACATTAACTTAAGGTTGGACAGGAACACTTCAGGATTTCACAAAGCTTAATTATTTACAATCTGTCCTCCCCAGGGGGTGAAAAATCTGTTTGGTACACACACACACACACACACACACACACACACCACATCGTGAGTCCTTTCAAGCAGACATTAATGCGCGCCTCTCTCTCTCTCTCTCTCCCCTCTCCCTCTCTCTCTCTCTCTCTCTCTCTCTCTCTCTCTCTCTCTCTCTCTCTCTCTGTCTCTCTCTCTCTCCAGATCTCTGCCTCTCTGGTCTCCAAGAATCTACTCCATTCCCATATACCAATTCCCCTTCTTTCCCTTTCTCCCCAGCTCTTCATTCTAAGGGATCTGCAGCTGCTTTTCAGGTGTGTGTGTGTTGGGGGAGGGAGGGAGGTCCCTCCTCTGGCTCTCCTCTAGGCTAGTGAATGAGAGAGAGAGGAAGCTGAGTCCTCCCTCC